CCCCGTTTCCTTTAGTCTGTCGGTCGCTGAGGGCGCGGTCTATCCTATGTGTGCACCGATATGTCTTGGCATGCATTGTTATGCTGTGCTGTGCTTTGATATGCTAGGCAATTTTTATGTGTTAGTGTGACATGTTATGAGTTGGTATGTTCAAGTATGTGTTGATGTGGTATGGTATGCTTAATTTCTCATGTTGTGGAATGAGGTGTGCTGTGATGCTGAGCTATGGTATACACTGCTCTGTCATGGTGTGCTATGTTACAATATGGTCTGTCATGATATGGTATGTTATGCTCCGATATGTTATGTTATGTGGTTTGGTGTTACGCACTGTTCTGTGGGGGGTCCTGGGGATCTGGCGGCCGCGGTATGCAGAGTGGGCGTGTCGGCGCGGGGGACGGGACCCTCAAGGATTATCGGGGGACCTCGGGTTGTGGCGGCCGCGGTATGCAAGGCGGGGGGGTGCGCGGGACCACAAGGGATTAATGGGAGCCAGGGGATCAGGCCGCCGCGGTATGCAGGGCGGGCGGGCCGGGAGGTCTGTTCTTAAAATCTAACGACTCGGGGCCTCCTAGATGAGGTCGGAGTAGATGGGGTCGGAAGATCGCGCCGCATCGCCGATGCATCGGCGATGCATCGGCGATGCACCGTCGACGTGGGCGATGCATCGGCGACGTCGACGTGAATCAAACCGGGCTCCACATCGAGCCGTATCGACGATGCATCGGCGATGCGGCGTGGTTCTCCGACCCCATCTACTCGGACCTCATCTGGGAGGCCTAGAACGGCCCCACCCGGTCGGGTGTGGGAAAACCTGTCGCGGGGGATCTGGGATCGGCACTGAACTTTCTGGCGGCGCCACGCCTCCTTCGGAGGTCGCCTCGAACGGTGCCGCGAGCACGGCGCCCGCGGGACCCGGCACCCGACGGCCCCGCGCTCTGGAGGGCGCAGGGGGACGCGGCGTACGGGCGCAGACCGCCTCGCCTCCTCGGGGGGGGCGTCTGCTGACCACCTCGCCGATCCCAGCCGGGGCCATCCAGGGACTCAAAGTTTCAATCCAGATGTTTTCCCTCGATTTCGGCATCTGGGGGGGGCAGTGTGGGAGGCGGTGGGGGTGGGGGCGGGGTGGGAGCGGGGGGGCACTGTCCTGGCCCAGGGACAATCGAAAACGGATCCAGGACGAAGAGCTGCCCCTGGGGAGGGGGTCCGGAGCTGGGGGGCCGCGGATGGGGATCAAAAAAAACAATAACCACTCGACCTAAATCATCGATGTTTACACATGCAGCATGCATCCGTCATGATAGCTCCCCCTGCCATGGGGAGACTTATTTCATGCATCGGGGGCCCGGTATCCCCGCAACCACATATCTGTCCAAGGAGCTCAGGCCAACACCTCTCCCGAGGCGCTTAACGACCTTCAGATCGCACCACGCATCAACAGAGTCAGTAAAAAGTTGGGAAGCGGTGAGGGGGAAGACCACAATGAACCGAACTCACGCCGTTCGATGCGCTCTGTGAGGGGGTCGCGTGGTAAAACTACAATCAATTAACCTTACAAGGGGACGAGGAGCACGAGTAGAACTGAAGACGAGCTGGTCCTTCGGAACGCGCGGGGCTACCCTGGGTGCTCGTGGGACCATCTGGGGCTGTCCTAGCCTTCAGGGGTCCTCTGGGGAGCTTCTTGAGTATTTCTTGACCCCGTCGGGGTCTTCTGACAAGCTGCTGGGGTCGCATTGAATGCTCATGGAGCCTTCCTGGGCTGCACGAGTGTGCGCTGCGAGGCGAGAGTGCCATCCCTAAGCAAAAAGCGAACAAGTATCGAGCGGAAGCGCTGGTTTTGATAGGAAGGCTAGTTTTCGGCGGCGACGGGAGCGTTGTTATTGTAAGGGGACCCGTTTGCAGCGCCGTGGCGAGAGTATCACCCCTGAGTGGAAAAGCAAAGACATATCGAGCGGGAGCGGAAGTTGTGTTGGAGGGCCGGCATTCGACGGCGAGCAAAAGCACCAGTCTTGAGTAGAAAACGAGGAAGTCTCGAGCTGGAGCGTTGTTGTTGTGGGGGGGCCAACATCGACGCACCCCCGAAACAGTCGGACGCGAGCCTCGCGTTCAAAGAGATAGCCGGCGCCGAGGCGAGAGCGCCAGGGCACCTCCCCTAGGCACCAACGAAAATTGCTTTTCGGTTCAGTCTCAACAGCCATTCTCAGACTGTTCGCTCTTCGTTGCTCGCGTGTCACTCAACATGTATACCCCAAGCCCTCGATCCCCGCCCTCGTCAGCTTCGATCGCACCCCCTTTGGGGGTAGTCTTCCGTGCCTGCCACGTGTTGTTGGCGCGGCCCTTCTAATTACTTGGAAGGGGAAGGAAAAAAGGAAGAAGGGAGAGAGGGAGGAAGCGTAGAGGAAAGTCCGCTGGCCCTCTTGTGGGGCCGCCAGGCTGTAGGGCGAAGCTGCTGCTCCCTGCACCAGTTGTAGTTTCGAGTCTCCAATGTTACAGTCCTGGTTTCTGCTTCCTAAATTGTTTAAGTCCGCGCGAGGGGGGGGAACCCCAAACCAGCAATGTTCCACGCCCGAATCGCGTTGCCTGAATTCCGGGTGGGGGCGTGGGACATCTAAAAATATGTAAGATTCGCGCCCCCGAGGCCAGAACCCCTCGTAAATTACACCGTGCTCGCGTCCCCGAGGCCATGAGCCCTCGCAAATTACTCAATTGTTGCGTACCAAAGGCAACACGCCCGTGTAAATTACTCCATATGCGCGTCCCCGAGGCCATAAACCTTCGCAAGTTCCGTCAAAATCGCATTGCCGAGGCCAAGAGAGCTCGACGGCGCCCGATGATGGTTCCAAGACAGCCCAAATGGGCTCCAAGAGTCCAAGAGGCCCCAAGAGCGCTCCAAGAGGCCTCCCGAGAGGGCCCCAAGAGGCCAAAATCGTCGACTTTAAGAAATTGTCTGAAGGATTTGGGCCTTCTCGCATTTTCGGCTTCCCAACGCTCCAAGACAGCTTAAGAAGCTCCAAGGACCGCTCCAAGACAGGGCCCCAAGACGGCCCAAGAGGGCTCCATAATTGCCAAAGAAGCGCTCAAGACGGCCCAAGAGGGCCCCAAGACGGCCCCAAGAGGTGCCCGAGCCGGGGACCACGAACCTAACATTTCATAGTTGTGCCCCGAAGAGCCTCCAGGATGCCCCAAGAGGCCGCCAAGAGGCCCCAAGAGGCGCCCAAGACGCGCCCAAAACGCCTCCAAGAGGCCCAAAAAAATACCCCACGAGGCCCCAAGAGACCCCCAAGAGGCCCAAGAGGCTCCCCACGACACCCCAACACATCTACAAGAGGCCTCAGACCCACAACCCAGGCACGGTGGCGGGATGGGCCAAAGGCCACTAAAGTCCGCCGCCCCCTGTTGATTTATCACAGGGGTGCCTGGCGTGCTGAACCCTTTCGGTTTTGGTTTTGGTTTTTTTGTTTCAAAAGAACTCCCCCTGGGGCTTCGGCCCGTCCCGCCGGGGTCCCGGGAAGGATTTCAAAACGCATCCGTCATGCCTCCGTCATCGCAAAACAACGGCCGTCTCGCTCGGGACATCCTCAACAAATCGCGAAGATGGTCCAAGATGGCCTCCAAGTCCGCCCAAGATGGTCCAAGACGGCCTCCAAGACTGCCCAAGAGAGTCCAAGACGGCCCAAGACGGCCCAAGAGGCCCCCCAGAGGCCTCAAGACGGCCCAAGGGGCCTCCAAGGTCCTCCAGGAGGGCCCGAAGAGACCAAAATCCTTGATTGGCCTGAGGCTTTTGAAGAATTTTGGAATTTGCATTGTCTCGGCACTCCGACGGCTCAAGACGGCCCAAGAGGCTCCCAAGATCGCCCAAGAGGCCCCCAAGAGGGCCCCATGACGGCCCAAGTGGCCTCCAAGACGGCCCCAAGAGGGCCCCAAGACGGCCCAAGAGGCCTCCAACGCGCCCAAGATGGCCTCCAAGACGCCCAAGATGGCCTCCAATACGGCCCCGAAGCGCCCCCAGAGGGCCCTGAGCCGGCCCAGAAAGGCCCCCAAGACGGCTCCCAACGGCGTCAGACGTGCCAGGACCCACCAAGATGGCCGAAGTTGGCTGGAAGCTGGCCCAAAACGGCCCACGAGGCCTCCAAGAGGGCCTCCAGGAAGGCCACAAGAAGCCAAAAACCTTGAGGTTCCAAAAGTTCTTGACGGATTTCGGCATTTCCTTCTTTTCGGCCTGCCGACGGCCCGAGACGGCCCCAGAGGCCCCAAAGATCACCGAAAGATCGCCCTAGAGGCCTCCAAGATGGCCCCAGAACGGCCCAAGAGGGCCCCAAGACGGAACCAAGAGGCCCCCAAGACGGCACAGGAGGCCTTTCAGACGCCCAAGATGGCCTCCAAGACGGCCCTGAAACATTCCAAGAGGGCCCCAAGTCGGCCCATAGAGGCCCCCCCAAACGGCTTCCGACGGCGTTTGACGGACCAGGAGCCCACCAAGACGGCCGAACATGGCCCTAAGATGGCCCAAGACGGCCCAAGAGGCCTCCAAGAGAGCCTCCAGGAAGGCCAGAAAAAATAAGAAAAACAAAAAAAACAACATTCATTTCCAATAGGTTTTTTTGAAGGATTGCGGCATTTGTTTTTTTCTGCATTCCGACGGCCTGAGACGGCCCAAGTGCCCCCAAAGATCGCCCAAGAGGCCCAAGACACGGCCCAAAAATGCCCCTAAGACGGCCCAAGAGGTCTCCAAGACGCCCATGTGGCCACAACGGCCGCCCCCGCTTTTTAGCTCAGCACAGCACATGCGTCTCGAGATGATCGGCCGGAAGCGAGGGCAGAGGTGCCAGCGCGAGCTGCAGGGCGGCACCTCTTAAACAGAAGAGACGCCTCCTGACACAAAACGAATACCCCGCGGGTCTGGGAGGGCGGGGCACTCGAGCAGGAGCGCCCGCGGTCGCGGCAACAATAACGTGCACAACACTTCTATGCGGCCACAGCGGCCGCTCCCGCTTTCTAGCTCAGCACAGCAAATGCGCCTCGAGATGCTCGGCCGGAAGCGAGGGCAGAGGTGCCAGCGCGAGCTGCAGGGCGGCACCTCTTGAACAGGAGAGGCGCCTCCTGACACAAAACGAATACCCGACTCATTCCCGAATTCGGATGTTGGCTGAGCGCAGCAAACACTGACAGATGTGAGAAGCGAGCTTGGGGGGCAGGGTTGGGCGAACAGCACCCAGCATATTTTAGCAGTAGGGCGCTGACCTGTCAACTCGATGCGCGGACGCCCTGAGAATTCACAATGTCCCTACCTCCACAAACTCTAGTTGAACACAGACAAATGCTCCTGCTTCACGTTTCCAAACAGCAGGCGCGTTCTTTTTCGAAAGGGATTTCAGAAGGCACAGAAGTCGACCACAACTGAATGGCACTGGGAGGCAATCTCAGGGACTTCGGGCAGCTTCCACATGAGGCTCGTGTAGGGATTCTCGAGAACCCAAGGGGCTTTATTTAGCGCTGTTGAGGGCCTCAATCATTCTCAGGGTTGCTCTCATAACTTTATTCCCTTGTCGAAGACTGGCACGGTCACTATCCGAGAAGTCACCTTGTTGGGTGGCGCCCCATGGCTCCGAGACACTCCAAATGACTCTGGTACGGTCTCTGGCAACACTGAAACTGGCACAGGGCGCCGCGATGCAACAAGCCACTACATTGTCTCCTGATGTCTTTCCAGAAACTTACCTAGGTGTCCTCGCGGGTCATATCTAAGAAAGGGTCGATCACCGTGTCATTGTATCTCACGACGAGATTGAAGCGTTGGGCAGTGCGACATACGATCCCACAACCACTGAAGATATCAGCAAAAAAATGCGCAGCCTTCAACCCCTCGGGACGAGCATGCTGAGAGGCGGGCGGCGGCCAAAAAGCAGGTCGCTTGCCGATGCGTTGAGAAGCGGGGCGTTCTCGTACCTCCGAAGGCTCGGGTCCGACGCCCACCCGCCTCACCTCTTCACTTCTAGGGTGTCTCGAAACCTCCCCTGTCTGTCAAGACCCGCACCACTGCGGCGCGCTTGATAGAGAACATGTCGCGGCAGCTGCACCCGATGTGTCGCGATGCGAAACTGTTGAAGCAAGTGGTTGTAGTCGTGGTTGAACAGGAAAGAATGTGGATCGCCCTTTGAGGCCTCCTCCAATGCTCGCGGAAGCCACGGGTAGATGCTGTTCTCCAGGGTGATGGCCTCGTTTCTGTGGCCAGTCTTTCTCACCTGATCTCGCGTCCCTGGAAATAGTACCACTCCCCACCTGCGACTGCCTCCTCGAGTCGGGCGGACGAGGTCCTCCCTGCGAACAGTCAGCGGCTCTGATGGTCTGTGATAGTCGACCACCATCCAAACGATCTGGAGCGCCATCTGCCAGTTGCCGCGATAACACAAGTCGGATGCGACCGCGCTCCATATGATACTCACCACGGGGCCCCGAGTCTTGAAGCCACTGAGGCGCCTCCAGCCCCGGAGGGCGCGCCAGGAGCGAGGGAGCTTGCGGTTGCCGTGCTTCCCGAAGGCTGGGAAGAAGTGGACGGGCGCAGCCATGAGGGTCTCGCCGCGCCGGACTCCCTTGCCCGCGGCGAACTCCTCGCTGAGATACCTGTTCACCTCGCCGTCTACCGCGACACCCCCGCCTCGCTGCCTTGCGGCGTCGGGGGCTCTCTCCCAGAAGTCGCGGATGGCGTTCCTGTAGTTCCTGTCTGTCGCCTCCCTGGCGTTGGCATGTTCCAGGAAAGTGACCTCGCCCGGGCGCCTCGAGACAGCTGACTTGGCAATCATTCGACGGCGTCGCCTGATGAGAACCTTGAGTTTCCGCTCCGCAGAAAGGCCAACAGGCTCCGTCGAGCTCTCGCTCTCCTCGTCGGAGTTCGGGAGGTGGTAGTCGGCAGGCTGGTCGGGGAACGGATCCTCCAGGCGCATCAGCTGGCCCATCGGCTGACTCGCTGTGGCACCAAGGCGTTCGTGGGCACCTGCGGGAGGTCCAAAGCGCCACCTCTTGCTCGGCCATGGATCTGCCGCGGGGCCGCTGGCCTTCAACTTCGCGCCGAAGTTCGGCAGCCCTCCAGGAGCCGCAAGGATGCGGCTGGACCGTCTGGGCTCTTCCGATTTGCCATGGCTGGAGGCTGCTCGAGCGAGGCCGGCGGTCAGGGCGCGCTGCGGCTGGTTCTTCCCCCCGGGAGAACGGCGCAGCATGGCCGATTGGAGCCGCGGGCGACGGATGCGGAAGGTGAGATTGGAAGCTGGCAAAGTACGAGTCTTCGAAATTCTCCTCAAGCACATCCTAGTCTGGCATCGCATCTGTCAGCAGCGGCTGGTTGACAACCTCCGAGGCCCCATAGACGCCCAGCGGGTCATTCGCATCGCCTGACACCTCCCTGAAGTTCCCGTCGTCGTCGCCCCCTATCGCATCGTCCTTGCAGTCCTTGTAGTTGTCTAACCTCCCGCCCTTGTCGTCGTCAAGCAGAGTGGTAAAAGTGTTGCTAGCATCGTAGTTGGGACGAAAAACCTGGAGCCCTCGTCAGTTGGGTTGGCCTCACTCGGAAGCCAGCGAACATACACCTTTATATCTAAGGCCAAGCACAGGCCATCGCGCGGCGAAAACAGACAAGCACTCTGCAGTTTCGTGACCTACGTCTGCCGAAACACAACGCAACAGACATGTTGTCGGAGAGCACCAAGACACGCCGACCAGAAGAGGAAGAGGTACTCGCGAGGACTTCTAGGGCACGAAGGAGGGCACGGCTCTCAAGAACAAGAATTCCCTCCGAGGATCTAAGCCAAGGCCTGACGACGACCTCCTGCCACTTCGACTCTCTGAACAAACGAGCGCCCATCTCGACAAAGTCGGGGCCAAGCCCCCACGCCCGGTGTTCGCCAGGGCCCAAATCGCCATCAATCTCCTAACGAGGGCGCCAGTGACCCTCTTCGCCCATCACGATGTTATTCTCAGAGATGAAACGGTATCTTGCCGACATGCCTGGCATTTTTCTGAAGCGCGATCTCTCCTGTATTCGGCCAATTGTCCGCGCCTGCTCTTGTCCGAAACCGCTCACGCTGACGGCCTATCCGTATTCAGAAGCATCTGCCACTGCGACAACGGGACGCAAGTCTCGGCTCCACTCTCCAAGCAGGAGAAGCATGAGACCGAGGAAGGATTCGACCTCTCGACGACAGGACTCCCAGAGAGGAGTCGCCACGAGGCACCGAGCCTGCATAAATTTGCAAAGAGCTGAACACGCACCAGGTATCCCTGCTGCAGAGCCCCACAAACGCACAGTGCCCTAGCAGGATCTCCCAAGCACGCCCAGCAAGAGCACGACATCGGAGTCCCCATCGGAGTGCTTGCCGAACCTTCCAATACCTCTTCGGGGTCACGCGTGCACACAGGCTGCCCCCGTCCAAGATGCACCAAGGTCTCGCCCCCCCCCCCCCCCCTTCCCAACTGGGATCTCGTCGCCATGAGTTTCGAGGCCCTTACTGGTGAGGAGCTGGGAGGCATGCTGGAGCCCACGCCGCGCATATTGTTCTTCCCATCCCAAGACCCCAGTATTGTCCACGTAGACGCAGTAGGCTGAAAGAGAAGGGGCCCCTGTAGGGCCAAGAAGACAGCACGAGGTCTTCTCGCCCAGGGCCTCCACGATCCGCAAACTGGGGGAACCTCCGACATGGTTTTCGTCCGTGCGCTTGCAGAAATAGAGCGACCAGGCGAAGCCCATCGGGGGGCTCTTAAACGCAGGAAGCGCCCAGGACTCGGTTCCCACGACCACGCCATTAATGTTCTTGCCCGCGAGCCCCAACTCTTTCGCGCGCACGGGCTGCAAGCAAAAGAAGGCGGAGAGCCCGCGATCAATCTTGAGTCTGCGAAAAGCATCCTTCGCATCCGAGGTGCCGAGGCAGAAACGGAAACCATCCTCTTTCCTAAGTTGTTCGCATGTCTCCTTATCCACTTCCAACTTCGAGAGGCCCTCGGCAGTCACTACATTCACTCCGGGCGGCGAGCAAAATGAAGGTTGAATCTTCTAGCACCTACGATGAGTCTCAACTTCCCTGTCCCTTTCTTTTTGGCGAAGTATACCCCCACCCCCTCATTGACCTCATCTGGGCCCAGGAACGCAAGAACGCCACGGTGCCGCAAATCCCGCATCAGCAGCAGGTAAATTGTGCGGCCTGGAAGAAAGGCGGGGTCCCAGTGGGGAGTAGTCCCCGAATCCGCTATCCGAGCCTCGCGCTCGGAGTCAGACAGCAGCATGCGCTTCAATCCACTCTCCAGATAGCGGCGTACATCACTGGGCAAAATCTCGAGCAGGCGAGGCGCGCCCACGACTGACTCGGGCAAAGAGATCTGCCGCACATGCTGGAGGTGTCCGATGCTTCTTCCGCACGCGTCAGCTTCGTCGCCTGAGCGGCCGTTGAGGAGAGACTGGAAGGCCTCTCGCGGCAGGGGGATCGCGCCCTTGCCCGGAGTGGCCTGAGCCGCTCTGACACTGCACGCATGCACCCCTGCGATCAGCTGCGGGGGGGGGGGGCGGGCTGGCCGCCTCGCCACGGACATGCAACCAATTAAGAGCTCGAATGGCACCGTTAGCCCCCCTTACAATCTTCCGCTGGCAACGCGCTCCAGGAGAGTTATCGAGGGCAACTCCCTTCTTTCCCTCGGGGCTGCAACAAAAAAAAACGACGAAGGCCGCCCACTCCGACGGGGGGCGTTGAGGCCATGGCTTCACTGGCGGCGGGGGCTGCTGACCGGCTGCTGCCTTGCCGCCGTCTAGGCCGCCCCTGCCGCCGCCAGCCTCGGGGCCCTTCGGACCCTTTGGGCCCTTCGGGCCCGATGGGCCGCCAGGCAGCCCCTCCGCCGCGTCCGCCACGAGCTGGCTCCAGGCGGGCTGCCCGCTGAGCCTGCTCGCCACATTCTCAATCTCGGCCTTCTCCTTGTTCTTGCGGGCAACCGCGCCCCTCAGACCTGGATCGACGACCTCCAACGGCCCAGCGATGCCCATGCATGGCTCCAGGCCCTGCCACTTGGGCCTCGAGGGGTCGTCGCGGCAGGCCTCTGTGATCTGGGCCACTCGTCGGCACATCACCTCCACGGAAGCCAGGGACGCGATGTTCAACTGATCATACGATCCTGCATGCTGAACCGCCGCCAGGGGGGTGGCCATCTCGATCGCCGCGCGCTCATTCTGACCGATGCCCTTCTCCCGAAGCCACAGCGCCAGCCACCAGAGCGGGCCCCCGCCAGTCCTCTCGAACCTCTTAGCCATGCGCAGCGTCTGCGAGCGCTGGCCCTCGAAAGGCCAGTCTGGGAAGAGGTGGAAGCTCAGCTCGCGCGCGACAGAGCGCCAGGGCTTATGGCGCTCCCCAGCTTCGTCCATCACGACCCAGAGGGCCCTGACCTCCTCGGCCTCCTCCTGCACGCCTGCGCGCTCGCGGTGCTCCGCCAAGGCACCTGCGCGCTCGCCGATCTCAGCCAGCCCAGCGGAGTCTGCCACCTCGACGCCCTTTCGATCCTCCATCCACTCCTCGAACTTACGCCCACGGTAGGCCTCTCGCACGCTCCTCACGAGCTCGGCCTTCTCGTCGGGCACCACCGCCAACACGCGCTGCCAGCCGCCCTCAAGCCGCACCACGGCGTTCCGCTCATCGAGGCGTATGTCATGTCTCGTGCGCTGCATCACTCGACCCAGCCCTGGCGCCTCCTTGAGCACCCACTCGTGTCCCTTCGGCGGGTCGAGCTCGAGTCGCGGCGTAGGGCAGTCGGCCTCGTCCGGCGGCGGCAGCGGCTGCAGCGCGTCCGGGGCCAGCTCCTCTGGCGCTCCTGCGGCAGCGGCGGCGGGGGCCGCCTGGCGCAGCGGAGCGATGCGACGGATGGCCCCACCGAACGGGAGGAGTGGGCCGTCTTCGAGGTAGTGGCTCGGGCCCATCAGAGGCTCACCCGACTCCGCCATCTCCGCGCGCGCCAGCCTGATGAAGCTCCTCAGGCTCCTTCCATCGATCGGCTCTCGGGGTTGATAGAAACCTCCGCGCTTCACCGAAGGGCGATCTCCATTTCGTGCGATCCTGAACGCGCGGGAACAGCCCTCAGGATCCTCGCAGGCCACATTCTCAGGGGTGTAGTCACCATCGGGCGAGAGCGTGTACCACACCTTCGGCCCGACGGGATACAAGAGCGCACGATGATGCCAAACCAAGTCGTCATCATACCAGACCCCGATGCAATCGCCCGGGATCATGTTAATGCAGAACCCCTGCGCCCCCACGGCGGTGCCGTCCGCCAGCCGCAGCACCGGCCATCTCCCGCGGTGGGGGATATCCTCTCTCTCCACGAGCGCCATGGTGACGGCGGCACAGCGCGCAGGCGGCTATGCCCTTGGCGAATCCTAGCAGGCCCGCCAGCGCTCCCGACCAGCCCCAAGACGTTTGCAGCGGGGACCCGTCCGACAGCAGCCGCGTCACGTTCAGCTCAGGCCGCTCCTGTGGGCCCGTCAGTGCCTCCACTGCTGAGCTGAGGTTCCGCACTGCCTCCTCCGCCTGAGAGAAGCGGTCGTCCAGCCGCGCGAGGCCACGGGCAGGCCACTCGGGCGGGCCAGGGCAGATCGGCGGAGGGATGCTCCGGGCGACGAAATAAGCGAGGAGGCGTATCGTGGGGAGGATGGAAGCCCCGCCGACAGCAAGAGCAGTCGTGCTGCTCATCCTCAACACTTGAGCAGGAGTGCCCGCGGCCGTGGCAACAATAACGTGCACAGCACTTCTAGGATGGCCTCCAAGACGGTCCACGAGCCCTCCAAGACGCCCTCCAAGAAGGCCCGAAAGGGTCCAAATGGCCTCCAGACGGCCAAGATGACCTTCAAGATGCCCACGTGTTCCCCGAAGGCTTTCCAAACCGATTCGGGGAACACATGGTCCGATAGCTTGGCAGGTCTGGCCTCAACGTTCGGCCACATAGGCGCTTCCAAAAAGGCAGCGGGCGGCGGTGATTCGCCGCCGGCGTCTTCGATCCGCCGCCCCCTTTTGATTTATCAAAGGGGTGCCTGACATGTTAAACCCTCCCGCTTTGGGTTTTGGTGTTTTTTCAAAAAGAACTCCCCTGGGGCTTCGGCCCGTCCCGCTGGGTCCCGGGATGGATCTCAAAACGCGTCCGTCTTGCCTCTGTTTCCTCCAGTTGGCCCATGATGGCGTCCAAGACGGCCAAGATGGCCCATGATGGTCTCCAAGACGTCTCCAAGACAGCCCAAGATGGCCTCCAAGACGGCTAAGATGGCCCCAAGATGCCTCCAAGACGGCCCAAGGTGGCCTCAAGATGGTCTACGACGGCCCAACAGGCCCGCAAGAGGCCTCCAAGACGGCCCAAGGGTCCTGCAAGACGTCCTCCAGGAAGGCCCGAAAGGGCCGAAATCATTGATTTTCCAGCGGTTTTTGAAAGATTGTGGCATTTGCGCCTTTTCGGCTTTCCGACAGCCCAAGACGGCCCAAGAGGCCCCC